CAAATTTTTTGACGTAGATGGCCATGCCTGGGTAAGATGCAAATTAGCAGATAAGGGGGAGGGGGCATGCTCTATCTCCAATTCATGACCAATGGTTATGTAATTTGCCACACTGTTTCTTGAGAAAGTATAGATAATATGTGACCTTGATTTAAAAAAAATTGTTTTCGATGTAGGGATGATATTCTGGACTGTACACAAATTCGTAGAGTTGTCTTGGCAGTTATAAAAAGTGACCATTGTTCAAAGTCCAGCTACATTATTTTTTATATGAACCAGTAAATTGAAGTTCAGAATGGCTTCTTAATTTTATAGAAAATCTGAAGCTGTATTTTTGCGGTCTAGGGGGTCGTTCAGGCCTCGTGTTCAAACAAAGTGAGTGAAACATCCTTCATTTGGTGAAAAATTCTAAAATTCACCGAGAAAACACCCCTAGTTTGCAAAAACTCTCAGTTTTTGAGACTAAACATTATTCAAAACTACCACTTATAGTGGCTCAGTCTCAGCTTGTTTTTCTTAACTTTTAATCAATTTTGAGGCTCGCTTTTGTTGTTATATAAAAAAGTGCCGTATCAGGAACTCAAATAAATTGTTCAGGTATCATCTGAAGACTTTATAGTCGTCTCTACTAGGAGATTTGTGCGATTTTCTATCTGCAAGGACACTACTCAATGTGTATGAATTCTGATAACTCCCAGATTCAGCATCCTTATAAACGAGAAAATGAAATACTTTAGAACGTCTGTTCTCTGAAGGAGCTGTTCTGTTCTCCAAAAAGCCTTGTGTGCTCACATACGAAAGTACTGACACATACTGAACTGTCTGTCATTAAAGAAAAATGGGTATTTGTAACCTTTCCTAGGGGAATTCACCAGAACATTCTCCAAAGAGGAGGTCTCTACTCTGCTCGGCCTTGTGAAACCGGGCTTTCTAGACGAGAAGGTTTCACATCATGGCAAAAGAGCGCCCTTTGTGCCTGATATGTTTGGTGGCCCTGCCGGAAGGTCGACGAATAACAATAGAAGCTCTTATGACACACCCAAGCCACGCCCAGTCTCTATTGTTTTGTGAAGATGGTTTGCCTTCTGGGATGGTTTTGTCTGGAGGAAGGTTAATAACTCTTTTGGACTCTGCCTGCCGGTTGGGATTTTACACAACTCGTAAAAATATGGAAGGAGGGATAGTCAATTTCTGGAATGTGTTTTCTAAAACCATAGTATCTCTATGCCTAGAACATATAGCAACATGCTAACAAGTGCAAACGTATTGTATTTAAGGGAAAGGCGCCTAAGTTTCTACTGTTCACATTGATTCCAACATTCTACCATTCCAACAGTCCATAAATTCCACATTCCATGTTTTCGAGAAAGCTATTTTAGGCCAGGTGCACGATTTCGACCCCCCTTTTGTGCAGTAACTGGGCTTTTTCTAAATTCTCAATAATATATCCCTACTCTACTGAATTGGTTAAACAATTCAACAGATGTAAGTGCTGAAAAAGGTCTTCCTTGTGTTTTGAGAGTCTGAAAAGGTGTCTTAGACAAATATTTGTTGAGGCCTCGACTATAAAACCCTTTCTTCTTTGTCAAACCTGTTTATTGTGTATGGCAACGCCCCTATTCATACATGATAACCACACAAAGTACCACGGGTTTACTTTACAGCATTTTAATCTAAACAGCAATGCATACCTTGATAACACGGATTACAGCATGGTAGATTGCTTTCAACAAGTGCTCTGCAGACAAAATACTCTTTAGTTTGTGATTCGAAGACAGTCCATCTTTCATTCCACGTTTAGATTTTTGTACTGTTCGTTACATAGCTACATAGGCCCGTCGACTTTGCAAGTTCGCCCAGTCATCGAAAGCTTTCTGCCAGGACCGTTGCTAGCTTGTGTTAAGGGGAGGGGGATGCTCAGGTCCCATTTGCCTACAATGTAGGGGGGCCATCATTTATTTGCCTTCATTTGAAAAATCAAGTTCAAAAATCAATGAAATTTTGATGATGAAGCACCCCAGATGGCAAAAAAACCCTTAGTTTTACAATGGCACTTTTTCAAAGTGGGGTATCACATAGGTCAGGGTATTTAAATTGCTACATTTACTGACATGTGAATTTTGACACGAGGGCCTAGCTCACTGAGGATCTCACAAGACTGCCTCTATCCAAGCATAACTGAAGATTGTGAAATACAGTATAAACCCGCATAAAAGAACCTAGTTTTTTCTCTGGCAGCCTGAATAGGTTCTTAATTAACAGGCTGCTATTCTAATTCCAGTCTAAAAGGTTCTTAACAAAGTTCTTATATACGTACAGGCCCTGTACACATTAACAATGTTTTCCACCTTAAGAATTCTAATGGACATACTTAAACCAGCTTTGTTTTTCATGTGAAATTTCAACCAATAAAATGAATTTGTGTTGTTAGGTTGTCCAATTAGAATGCAACATAGCTACCATAACCTGATTTACTCTAAGCTGGTTTAATTTGCCAGTGTGAATAGGGTGTAAAAATACAATTCTAAAAACCCTTTTTTCTTATTTATATATATATATAAGAACCTTTCCTAATTTTCATTTCCATTGCAAGATGATTCCATGTATTTTCTCAACCATCGTATCGTCTATTTGCAATTTGAAACTGTAGTTAGTTGAACTTCACGTTTCATTTTGAATAAAATACTAAGTCCAAACACGTTTAGTTTTGTCTTTGTTTCATCATCAAACATTTCGTTTTCTAATTATAGGATTCCAGATTCCGGATTCTGTGTTCCGGATTCGACATTCCGGATTCTGTGTTTTGAGATAACCCATGCCACAGGGCCTCCGAAACCTCTCTGTGGCACTGCTCACAGCTAAGCCAGAAAATAATATCTATATCATTGTAGCCAGGCTTCCAGAAGCAGCATTTTCAACCTTTTCTGGGATCTTTGTTAGGGTGCCCCTTTTAACAGGTGCCTCTACACTTTCATAATGCTTCGTACGTTTTCACCCCCTGCCCCTCGGCCAAAAGGCTAAAGTCCAATAACTCTCCAGCTTGTCTTTCCTAAGGACAGAGTTTGAAGCCCTGGCAAAACGACTGAACATTTCACTAAACATTTTACTCAACTTTTGTTTAGTGAAGTTGAGCGAAGTTTAGCGAGAGTAGCAAAACGTGACTAAACTTTTCACTAAACTTCACTCAACCTTTTTTGAACTGCGACCTGTGTAAGACGCGGCAGGGTTGTAGGGGATCTTGGCTAGGAATTTTCTTTCGGTTTGTTTTGTTGTATGTTAGCATAAAAGACTTCATGTACAAGAAGTGGGTAAAAATAAGAATTGGATGAAGCGACGTGAAAAGAAAAGACTTTTTAGCACATCGATAACAAAGTTGAAGAAGACACAGTAGCGTACAATGAGATGGAGCAGATTGTTGGTCAAGTAGAGACAGGAAAACGATGAAAACCTTAGGATTTCCACAGCTACGGCGCCTGTGCTAGCACAACAAATGTTTATTTGGTGGGAAAACGACCAAAAATTCGCTAAACAACACTAAACAACGCTGAACATTTTTGACCAGAATCAAATTTTGCTCAACACTCAACACAACAAACAACACTAAACAGGGTGGCAAAACGAATAATCTTTCCACTAAACTTTTCGCTAAACAAAAGTTATTTGCACTGTTTAATTAAATGTTTAGTCGTTTTGCCACGGCTTAAAGCATAAATTCAACATTATACGATTTGATAAGAAAAAAAACCATTTTAAGCCGAGAATCTTTGCTAAGCCAGTTTAACGATGCAGCTCCCATACACATGTCATCAAACAATTGGTTAATCTTCCGAAGAGCGATTTTAATGTCAAACCTCAGTTCATACTTGGAATTGTTCTGTCATATCAGAATTAGGATCTCTGGCATATTGCACCTTTATTTGAATCACGCAAGCGAGAAGGACCGTCAGGCCTTCTTTTAGAAAACAAGGAGGATTTTTCAAGTGCGAGTCACAGGGCCTCCGATGAAGGGGGCTGGGGCAAGGACCGAGATACCAGGGGGCAGGGGGCCTTGGCCCCCCAAAAAATTAACGTTACATGAGTAAAATACTTTTATTTTGTAAAATATGGCTGTTGTTACACTAATTATTCAGGGCTGCCCTCCCCAACAAAAAGTTGTATCTCGGTTAGGGGCCACGGGCCCCCACTCTTTTGCAGAACAGTAGAGCTTTTTTCAAAATATTTTGACAACATAAGTCAACAGGGTTATAGTTTTAATGTCCAGCTTATTTGTCAACCGCCTGTCAGAAGTAGCGGTCAGTGTTCGTAGCTAGACAAACCATCTCTAGGCAACGGAAGTATTATGGCCACAGTTTTGAAACGAAAAGTGTTTGTTTTCAATTAGTTCGGATCGGATACTCAGCGTCGTTGAGGACAAGGCTGGGAATGTAAACATTACCAAATATTACTTTGTATGCAGTAACTTCTTAACGCTTGAGTGAAACATTCTCACGATTGGTATTTCTTTTAAGTGGAAGTGTCCCTTGTCTGTTTCCTGCCAGCGCACATAGGAGCAAATTTTCAAATTGATTAAATTTCAGCGCGCCAATAGCAGATTAGAATCAACTTTCCGCGGGATACCCGACTCCTATTAATTTATAACGAAACTTGAGCAGATGAGGCTTTCAGAACAGCAAAGTGAAACATATGTTATGTTGGTCTGACAATAACTTACTTTAGATTCTTGCCGTAAGGAAAACTGGCACAGTAATTCCTTGGCGTTAACAAACTTTCAAGAGGCACGCAAAGCCAGTTTACTAGAGGAAATAGTCGGTTGCATGTCTTATAAAGATTATATTTTTGCAACAGCTATTTCGAAAGAAAAAGGAAATTTACATGAGAACATTCGGAGCTCATTTTACATTCATAGCGATGGAAACTCGATTTTGAGGGACACGTATTATACCGAGAACTCTTATTATATATACTGAGTGATAATAAACACGTAGAATTACAGTACTCACTGCTAACAGGGAACTGCCATATTTTATCAGCGCAAATGAAAGTCGGATTGGTGTTTTCAGTCTCTGTTGTTACATTTCCATTTGTTTTGATGTCGCCTTGAGAGTCAAGCGAATCTGTTGAATTCTGGTCTGTCTCTGAATCCACTTGCTCGACTAATTCGTGAGAATTCGCACAGAAATCCATGCTTATTGAACCGTCATCGCTGTCTTCAAAAAACTCGAAGGAAGCCATGTTTTTTGCTTTTCGAATTGTATATTTAATTGCTGTGAAGGCACTGTTTTATGGTGAGATCTCGACGGCACTTTCTTGCCCGTGTGATAACACCAACGAGCCCAGCAAGATTAATCCCCGCTGAGGGCTTGTCGCCTCAAGGGCCTTCCTTCATTGGCCAGACATGCGATGATGGGTCAGCGTTCCAATGCATTTTACCCCTTCTCAAACTTTACTATCTAAAAAATCCATTTGAATGTTATAATCTAGGACAGGAGTAGGAATGATCTGTTTTCATTTTTTTATGATAAGGAATTTTTAGGATGTGATGTAGAAACCATAGCTTTGATTAAGGTTAATTTATGAAACTATGTTGTAAGACAGAATCACAGAATAGGGATATCAATTCTGTGACAGAATGATCCGTTTTTTATTTGATGATTAAGTATATGCTATCAAATATTGCTTTTTCGAAATATTCCATTATTCGTTTCAACCGTTGAAACAAATGGTTATGGTTATGGCAAATAATATGAAAACTTGTCGTCAAGTCGTTCAAAAAGCCAATCAAATAGATAGTGTCTGAATACTAGAGGCAAAATTGCCAAAAACTGGACAGTATCATCATCATCATCATCATCATTATCGTCATCATCATCATCATCATCATCGTCATTATCATCATCATCATCATCGTCATTATCATCATCATCATCATCATCATTATCATCATCATCATCATCATCATTGCAATTTGAACATGACGAGGGTGGACGTTTATTCCGATCATTGATTGAGCAGCCAGGTACATTGACTTTTTGGGGTGCAGCTGAGATCAGAACATCGATACCATGGTATGAGCGCGGGGGAAACTTCATTGCAAGTGAGGGGACAAAATGTTTATATTTGTCACTACTCAGGAGTTTAGTGAAAGCAACCATTGTTGGCGGGGAGAAAAATTGTAAGATAGGACATTCTAAGAATGGCCAGAAAATGCATCTTACATATCAACAGCGTCGATAAGGAATGACCTTTTTTTAAAAATGATGACCCATTGGTTTGATTTGGAATTGATACATGACAAGAAACTCTTAAAGAACTGGGAGGCCAAACAAGGGGCAAAGAAAATTCGGGGGCATGGCCCCCTGCCTCCCCCCTGTAGAAACGCTACTGATATGCCTTCACTTTGACTGAAAGAGTCTTATTCTACTTTAAAAAAAGACATCTGCTATAGACTGAAATATTTTTCATGAAAAATAATTCTTTGCATTCTTTAAATTCTTGGTTTTCAGTGCTTGCAATTATTGTTAAGATACTGTAAAAACCTGCCACCTTATGAAGATTTGTTGAAAGAAGCTCATTCTATTTTTAGCTAAAATCCGAAAGTTTGAAGGCCACAAATGAATTTTTAGGGCTTATCCGCTGTCAAGCCAAAGAAACTTTATGCATTCTTATTCTCCCTCGAAACGTTACCTTCTAGGGGCTTGGGGCGCCCTTTAGACTTTCGAAAGGGGCTACAGCCACTTGTGGTATATTTTTAAGGCAGAAATGTGTTCCTGGAATAGTGAGACAGCAGCACACGTTTTAAATTAAGAGGAGGCAAATAAAAAGGAGCCATTACTAGTCGGTAGTCTCTATCCAAAGGATCGGACAGTTTTGTCGTCAATGCTAAAGTTGCCATATATGTCTTTCCCCATTTTATAAAATTGTTTTAGTTTCGAACCCTGAACCCTCTCTGAAAAAAGAAATCAGAGCCTATCTATTCTACCTTAAACCAATGAGACCATGATTAGACTGAAATCCAAAGCAGAAATTGTCCTGTATCCGATCAAGCATCGACATGAGCGTGAAAAACCTTAACACAAAGCAAGTATGCAAACAAGGGGGCTTAATCCTCCCCCAATGTCGCTAAAAGGATTTTGAAAGAGGTTTGGTTTGAAACCAGAAATGAGATATGATTTGATTTAGGTTTAAAAATTTATCAATTTACATTTTTAGAATTCTTTGAAGATTGATTTTTTCTTAAAATGCTTTTCATCAACATTAAACTTCTTTATGCAACTTCTGTTTCTGTGGGTAAATGGAGAAACTACAAATTTATTCCCCAAAGCAGGTAGACGGTGTTGTTGCAACCTAGAATTAATGTTGCAATATTTGTATGTTGAATAGCCTATTTGAAACGATGGACAATGTTGTGCATGCAAAGTTTGCAACTGATCCAGGGCCAGAAAGGACCAGAAGAGATTATTGAGGAAGAGATTCAATTATTATTTCGCAGAGATTTACCACAGTCGAGCTAAATATGTGTTATAAACGAGTCGATTGACTTTAAAAAAGATAAAGCTTATCTTTAAAACTGCCTAAACATTGTCTCAAGCCTCGCAGTCAGTATTCTGTTCATCACCTGAAATCCTCTATCTTTGCAAATGCAAGCTCCCCTTAGTTAAGTGCAAGTTGAAGTAAGATTTGCACTATCAAGCCAATCGATAACATGCAAGCAAATTATGGATAATGTTTTCCTTTGTGAATCGTGAGTATCAGGCACGTAAACGTGGTTGATCTTATTACTTGGGTATAGTTTTTTTGTCTCTTCCGAAACCACATTCATCTGAGGTTTGCCAGGCTGTGTCCCAAGTTCTAAACAAACTACATCCAGTAGCGGCCTGGCAGGGGGGGCCGAGGGGGCCAGGCCATTTTTATAGGGGCGCCAACGCTTGTATAGGGCGCCAAAAACTCAAAAAAAGTTTGATACGACCGACTTGTCTGGTTATTAGGTCTCTAGGAGGCCAGCAAAGATAAAGAAAAAGCCATAAAACTCAAAACTTTATTGGGGCGTACGCCCCCATAACCCCCAGAACATTCTCACTTCAAGGGCACGTCTTTGTGCCCCTTTAGTACTGTATTGTCCAGACAAAACATTTGTACTGCTCCCAGGGGCGAAAAGATTAATCAATGTTTTAGAGGATTGTCGGGAAACTTACGTAGTTAAATTCTTTTGTGTGGAGAACACAGCACTCATAGTGCACACAAACTGTGTTTAGGGTTTCGGGGACAGTCTGTGTTTAGGGTGTCCGGACTCATGCCCGCCTTCCAGGGAAATTTTGATTTTTGATGAGACTCTTTGGCTCTGCTGGCCTTCAGAGACCTGCTCATGTGGGGGTCAGTAGATTTTGTCTCATTGCTTCATTTCTCATGAAAGGACCAATTTGTCTCGACGATACAAAGATAGGATGGATTCTTTTCCTCATTACAAAGTAATGAAATCCATTTTAAAACTGGAATTAATCAAACGTGCTAAAAGGATGCTTAAAAAAAGGCAAAATTTTTATACGATTTCAAGAAAATGACTGCAAGAAATATTTTGAAATGTATTTTAAGCCAATCTAAAGGTCGTGGTCGCAAAAATTTTCTGCTCGATCTGCTCGCAAGAAGCCTCCTTTATTCAGAGTTATACCAAGGGCCTCCGACAACCTCTAACCGGCCCTTCCCAATGTTGGTTTTTTAGTCAAATAAAGCTATTAACTCGAGCCACCCCTGTACTGCCAATATTCTCAGGAAAAAGACAATAGTGTTAGTTATGGAGGGCGCCATTTTGATGTTGGCCCCCCAGGCGAAAAGGTCCAGGCCGCCACTGACTACATCCCTTTCATGTTCTACACAACTTCCAGAATTTGTTTTACCCATAGCTGTAATAGAATGCAGTCTCATGTCCTTTGTTTGGTGTCCTCTTTCTTAAAACTGGAAAAGATATGCGATGAATGCTTAAGGCTTACTGGCTACCTTAGTCGGATACAATAAGGTCACACCAGTAGCACTACAGAGGGGGCTTTGGGGGCTCAGCCCCCTTGTTTAAATGGCAAAATACTTTTCTGGCCCAACCCCCTCCCTTAGAAAGCGAGCACATATTTGGCGTGACAAATTCTGTGTTGACAGCCCTTTATCATGCTAAAGATTATCCGTGAATAGGCAATTTCCGCGAGACAGAGAATAGTTTGAATGATTTCCCACACATAAGAGAGAATTTTTAAAACAAATGCAAGTGTATTGGATTTGGTCATGGGCGTGGTCTTGGGTATGGCTTTTGGATGTTATCTACAGCATAGTACCCATTTCCAACTTTTCAGGACGGCACAACTGAGTCACACTGCTTGTAAAAACTAGCAGTAAAAAACCTTAATGTATGCTATGATGCTACCAACTGCCCTTTTCAGGGACTCCGATGTGTTCTGGTGTCCAAACTTTTGATTTAGCAAGTTCCAAATGCTACTTGCGCTTGATATAAGTGAGAACCTAAATGTTTCTGTCCTGAACTAAGGTACACGGATTATCAAATTGTTACCGAAAGATTTCTATACATTGCTCCGTATGCATTGCAACATTCATCCGACAGAAAAACAAATTGGTAAATTGGAAACTAAAGCATGGAAAAATTTAATAAATCAAAAAAAAATTAAAACCAGTGAAAGTGACTTGTGTCAAAATATTAAAACAAAAATGAGATTCATCAAAAAATCTTCATTCGGACTAAAATCGCAACATAACACAATATTTAAACACAATAAAGGTGCAAAACTGCTAAAACTAAAACTAAACATGACCGAATTAAAGACAAATTACAAGGGAAAGCATACCGAAGGTGTAGAGAACAGAGCACCTGTAGGAATGCCGCTGTTTCCAAAAATCGATTTGCCAAAAATTGGTAGCTTACAAGGAAATAATCCAAAGCTACTTAGTAACATAAACAGATGTGTGGAACAATTTTTTAATTTCTTAAATAAAAAACGACAATAACCAAAGACCATATTACTAGCTCCACTGCACTCGTGGTAAGTAATAATTGCACCGAAATGGAGAAGTGGTATCACTATTATTATTTTTATTATTATCATTATTATTTTTATTATAATTAATGTTATTATTATTATTATGATTATTTTTGTTATAATAATAATTATTATTATTATCATTTGACTTAATAATAATCACCCTCAACTTAGGTATGCTTCTTGACAATTATTTTATTGAATAAGGGACGGGAATGATGAAGGCCAGGTATCTCTTTCAAGTATAATTGACATACCGACAACTGAGAGCAAAAATCCTTGTGACATTCGGTTTCATGTTTATTATGTTGTATTTTGTAATGTTTTATGTTTTAGCAGGGCTTATTCTAATGTGCAGTGAAAAACATTTGTGCAGTGATATATCGTAATTGTGTAG